TCGTCTAAATTACGCCAAAATATAAATAACACTGACATCTCTCTTTAACAGAAATATTTACCAAAATTACACATACATATTTAAAATACTAAAGAGTAAATTTATTCAACAAAATCGGCTTTTGACTTCAACTCCGACCTCCAGACGACTTCGGAATCTCCTGCAACTCTTCTGGATGGTCTTCTTATTTAAGTTGGTGAATGCTGCCATAATCCTTGCCTTTACTCGATCTTTTGTTTTACAAAGAGTTTTGTTGGTCACTCGTTCAACGGTGTCCTATATAATAATAATCAATGACGTTGCAGTGTGAGGAGTTAGGTGGCCAGATATAAGTGCTGATGTGGTCGGAGAAATTGTCTGACAGCCATGGCTGGGTTCGCTTACTTGTGTGGCATGATGGAGATTCCTGTGGTCACATATAGTGCCTTTCAGCAGCCATCCTCACAACCCAGGGCGGCACTACCTCCTCAAGGCACTTAATGTAGGTCTCCGTGTTGAGTCTGAAACCTTGTGGGAAGATGAATGGAGGCATAACGTCGTCATCAATATTGATCACTCTAAGCACCTTCACGATCAGTATTAGACTCATTGAACTCTTTTTGAATCCCATGCATTATCTTTAGATTGATATCCAAACTGTCTGAAATGTTGGAGCTTCCGGCACGAATGCCAAGCAGTACGGAATGCAGTTTCCAAATCTCTGTCGGTGTGAATTGAGTCATGGTGCTCTCTTTACACAGTCAGTACCCAACTGAGCCTAGTATGCCGTGCAGTCGACAAAATCCAAAAAACCAACAACGCGCATGCACGAAACTGAAAAGGTAAAATGGCGACAATTTACCCATCGCAAAGAAACTTTACGACCACACCTGGTCATATGGACTGATGATGATTGATTGATTGTGTGATTTGTTTGTTTAATGGCACATCAACTTTTTATGGATCATTTAATGCCGAAGTTTGATTTTTGCGGGGAGGGGAGTAATACAAATATATGTAATTCTGTATTCACAGTTGAATATATGGTAGATGCTACTCAGCTTTTGTGAATATATCTGTTTGTCTTGACATAATGTCAAGTGGCGTTGATATGAATGTTTTCCGTTATTGTTGGAGTTATAATTTGGAATACAGTTTGATTTCTTTAAGAGATTGTAGGATATTGTTGGAGTTATAATTTGGAATACAGTTTGATTTCTTTAAGACATTGTACGATACTGTTGGAGTTATAATTTGGAATACAGTTTGATTTCTTTAAGAGATTGTAGGATATTGTTGGAGTTATAATTTGGAATACAGTTTGATTTCTTTAAGAGATTGTAGGATATATTGATTAATGTCATGAAATTTACTTTCATGTAGGCTTGTTGATTGATTTTGTTTAGTGGCATATGGGTTATTTAATACCGAAATCTAAATATTTTTGAACGCTATTGTATGACTCCAACTACGGATAAAATATATTGTTGGTATAAAATGCATTGCCAGTCATTCTGCATTAAAAGTGTATTGTTGTTCATTTTACTGTAAAAAGGTATTTTTGGTCACTTTATTATAAAAATGTATTTTTATACGTTCATAGTGTTTTTGTTTTGGGGTTTACTATTTCTCCATAGAATAGACCATAACAGTACCACCTCGGCTCAGGGTCGAACTGGTAACAACAGCAATTAAGAGATTGTTCTATGCTACTCAAAATCTCCAATCTCCCGACTAGAGGCCTTGCAGCCGGATGAAGTTTATCGTCATACCCGGGTCTATTGATGAGGATGATGATGATGTACTGTGTCACTTCAGAAATTCGTAAATCATTCTGAATAATATTTAGAGAAGCTGCCTCTTGGATGTGGTCTGAATTGTCAACACATCCGAGGTGACCTTACTGCGTATGCATAAACTCGACCTTAAACTCACGTATTAAACGACATTGATCGAGCGTGCGTATTTTGCAACCGTTACTTTCACACGGCGAAATCCCATCAGGTTTTCCGGAAAGTAGTCGAATTATTGAAGAACGCTGTCTGGGATGATTCCGTCAGCGAAGATTAGATTTTAAAAAAAAGAAAAATGTTATCGCCGCTTTAGACTTGTCAAGGAATCCGCTGAAATCTATCCACGTTCTCAATGAGCAGAACAACA